ACCTTTGGGTCAAGCCGTAATGTTGGGTTGCCAGCGCAAATGGGTACACGAGTTAATGTGTTGACTTGTTTGTTGCCTGGTGATTATCATTGTGGTAAGAGCCTATATCGGTGAGTGTCCTGGATACGTAATAACATGAGCCTTTGGGAATTATCTATCTAATGGATACCTAGAGACTTCAAGAATTATCATCTGCCATTAGTTAGACCACTTAAAAAAAAAATTATTTAATCATTAAATCTAAAATATGAACGATTGAACTATCTAGTTAATTTGATGATCTTTTCGGATTAAACTTGACGTAATCTGCTATTTTGTTTTGAAGACTTTTGTAACACACGAGGACGTGTGATGGTCAGGAAGGCCGTGTCGCATCGTAAGTACGATCTCTAATGAAATGTATCATCGCTAATGAAAGAAGTCCAAAGCAGACGATGTTGAGCGTTTTCTCTATGTCCGTTATTCTCTTCCTTTATCCTTTTCCTACTTGCGTCGTCTGTCTCAAAATAACACGTGGTTTTGCGAGCCCAACAGAGTTGTCTGTTTTGCGTAGCCTCGACCCGACAGTGCATTAGAGCGAGAGAAATATAGTCTTTGACTCGGAGACGTCAGGAAGACGTGTGCCAATACTGTATGTATTGTGCGAGCATAATTGTGAAATTGCAGTCAGTCGAAAATTAAAGCTGAAGCAAAGAATGTCAATGTCGAGGAAACGTAAGGCTGGCGCCACGGTGGTGGAAGCGCAGGAGGATGAGCTGATAGGAAACCATTCTACGGCATATATATAATCATACTTATTACAGGTGGCAGCAATGGAAAATTTGATTATTGAGCCATAATGAACGCAATGGAAAGAATTTTACTAGAACTTGAATGCTCATAACTGGCATATTTGTGGGCAAAAGGGAAAAGTGCATTCCTTATGTACATGTCGGCCACGAGAACCTGACGCAAAAGATTGCCAAATTTTTATGGTTGTCTGGACCGATAGCGACGGTGGTGTGCACGACAGTTGCAGAATATTATCACCGAGTGTACAACTTTTTAAGTAGCAGCCAATAACAGCGAACTTCTACAAAATAATGTTCCTCCTTGTTATAATTGCAGAGCATTATTCCACCAAGACCACTGGAAATTTTACAAGCAGCATAAGAAGCGAGCGGATACCAACAGCAACATCAAACGAAAAACTGAAACATCAATTACTTGTTAGAGTCAGACCAAAATCATATAGATAACAACAAATTAAGTTTTAAAATAAGTGAGTGCGGACTGAATATATTAAATTGACGCCATTTTTTTAAATCAATGGCCAGAACGTTATATATATTGTTGATATTGACGTAAATGTCAACTGTATTCGTATCAATATAGTTAAGGATTTATAGCTTGACTAAAACTGACTTGGATTCAGAAATAAGCAAGCATTTTAGTTGGGGCCACAAAATGTGAAACAACAACAGGACTCAAGTCATCTGTTTAATTAATTCTTATTGAATATGTTAACATTGATTCCGAGTGTAACCTTGAGGGGCTAGGCAAGCTGCCCAACAAATATGTAATTATCTTGAAGGAATATGGAAAGCCAGTGCTACACTAGAAAAAAAGGAGATGAAATTATTTTGCCAGTGACATATCCCTTCAGCTGGGTAAACAATTTGCAAATTGTAGAAAAGCCAAATGGAAGAATACGCTTTGCTTGAACATCAAGCCATTAAATAATACAATTTAACGAGATCACTCACTACCTAATTTCGGCCATAGATGATTTTGTGGCACAACTGTTTCCTAAATAAATTTTACAATCACACGGAACTAGACAGACCTTCCCCGTTTGGTAGGTACAAATTTAATCATGTGCCAATATGGTATTTATGATGCACCTGAAATGTTTCAAAGAACACGCTTAAAATTTTTGGTGATATACCAATATATATACTATACATGTGATTTGACGACATCAGGATATTAGGTAACACCTGTGAGTAACATAAAGAAGCATTGATAAGAGTGCTAAAGCATGCAAAATGTAACGGGCCTCGTTTTCATCCTAACAAAGTTCAATTATTTAAAGCAGTAAGTTGATATATGTCAGAAGGGCATTTAAAAGAAAAAAAAAAACTTCTTGATGCAATGTTACATTAAAACTCCTGAAGACAAGGCAAGGTGTGTTGCGCATCCTTCGACTTTTTAATATTTGGAAAAGTTTATTTCACACCTGTCTTGCACTATAGCGAAAACATAAATCTGAGTAGCATTGATGTTGCGCTTGAATTGAGTAGGGAACATCAAAACAAACTTGATAATTTGCTTCGAATCAAATGGTTAAAAGTAGGCCCGAATCGAAAAAAAGCTTCGAGCAATTGTTTTCGCTTGTAAAACGTTATTATGTTGATGGTCGAGAATTTGTTGTGGAAACTGATCAAAAATCCTTTGAAGTTCCATTACGTCGAGGTATTGACGCAGTAACCATGCGATTACAACGAATGTGTTTTATACCTGCTTAAATATGCAAAAATCTCTGTAAAATACAAACTAGTTATGGACTGTCTAGCACGAAGTCAATTTCCTGAAGGATATGAAATCCCGCAATGTGTCCACATAGTTACTCGTTCAGCTTGCCTATAAGAGAAGAACTTTGATTGCTACCGTAACATTTTAGCAAAAATTGAAAATTACTACTGTGACTTTGTTGTTTGTTACAGAAACTAAAAAAGCTCCATGAATCTCATTTGGGTATGAAAAAAATGCTCGCCCGTGCTCGCTTATAAAATATGTGAAACAATTAAAAGGAGCGTTAATAGAAGATTGTATTTCAAAATGCCCTATTCACTTAGCACTAATTTACATTTCTTTATATGGGGGGAAATATTTACTTTCTATTCTTGATGCGTACTTTCATTTTCTGATTGGTAATTAACTTAAAGGAAAATCTGTTGAAAATGTTATTGGTCCACTAAAGAAGACTTTAGCTAACTTTGGCTACCTAGCCAAAATAAAATGTGTTACCAATCCATTCAATTCTTTTGCTTAAAAACTTCGTTAATGAGTGTAATATGATATTGGTTCCAAGATTACCGCAGGGAGTGGCGATTGCAAAGAATGTTTTAAAAAGCTGTTTTGAAAAAACGAATTATCAATATAGCATCCTTGAGTACAATGCTAACCCCGGGAACATGTGCAATACAGAATGAATATAATATATTATTATAACATGCACGCGAAAACAAAACGTCCATTTAACATAGGTGATAAAGTATTATTCAGGAAAAAAGCCAATGAATGGACAACTGACAAAAAAATAAATGTTTTAAAGGATAAAGGATGATTGCAATATATATTTTAGGAGCAGTAGAAGACTTATGACCAAGACATAAAATAATAACAGTAACATTAGAGGCTACCTTGAAAACATACTCCTATAAACAATGGCAACAAAAAGTTCTTTCAAAACTTCAACTAAAAGCGAAAATGCTATATTAAATCAAACTAAAAATGTTATGTTAAAGTATGATGAAATTACCATTATATATGAAACTAATATTACTATTGTTAATTAAATTAATCCTTATGTAACTAATGAATATGAAAGGTAAAACACTTCTATGGGTGATGAATTGATTTCAAACCCCAAATCATAACAAAAAGGGCGCGCGTCAAACGCCTGCCAATAATGATATTTTGAAATTTTGCGCCCATGATCTGCCCATTCACACACATTTGTATCTGTGTGTGTGTGTAGAGCTCGAAATTCAGAAATCACACAATATTGTCAAATCTGCATCGGAGAGGCAGGCAGGGACCAACAGGCACACAAGCGCATAAGTGCTTCTATTCATATACAAAATATACAAGTATGCGTGAGTAGCTAGTCCAAAAACTTTTAAATGCACACATGCCAACGCTTAGGTACCCTTTCCAACAATATCGAACTAAATTGCAAGAATTTCGCAAAAGGGAAGAAATGCCTCCGACATTTGAAAAAAATTTAAATTGTGGTCATTTTTGCTTGTGCGGACACATACACACACAAACATTTAAACGACAATTTGCTATGGAAAGAGCACTGAGAGTAAGCCAAAGCAGTTTCCTGTAGAGAAAGCGAATAAAAAGACAGCGATGTCGTTCTACGACACAGGTCATATGTATTCTAACTCTCTTGCTGTTAGAGCATGCGGGCATGTCTCGAACCCGAACAAAAACGAAGGCGACTTTGGACCAGCCGCACGGAAAACGCTTGTCCCCGTCATTAGTACTATTTGTCCAGTCTATATGCTATTTGGTTAGTGCCTGAACCCTCTTCTACCAACACTAAATGCAGATCGCGCTACATAGTCGATTAATTTAACAGTTATAAAAATAATTTTAAAAAACTGTTTCCTCTCGATTTGCAACTGCCTCTATTCAACATCCACACCAACAATTGAGTCTTAATGAGAAGAAAAAGGATTAAAATAACAGCACAGAAAAAAACACAATCGCAATTGCAATGCTGTTGATAGAATTCAATAAAGACGCGCGTGAATGTGTATGTGTACATGTATACATAAATTCTTGCAATTTGCGTTAGCTACCCCAAACACATTTTCTTTAATAACTTCTGTAACTTTTTAACCGATCTTGATTAAATTTTCAACAAAAGTTCTTATTATACTATAGAATATTCGTGTATTCTCAAAAAGATAATTGCACTAAAGTTGTAGCTTGAATTGGTGGGCAATACAAACAAGTGTTTTTACTTGATTTATAGCTATGTGGTGGTAGCGGAGTGGCGATAGCTATAAAATGAAAGATACTTGATATATATTTACTATTCTAGAAGCTACATGTCAAGTTTGGTGACTCTACCTCTTATTATTTACCAAATTTGCTCAAAAACCAGAATTTCGATTTTAATCGATTACTTGAAAACGGGGCAAGTTATCGATTATTGGAAACAAACTCGTACTGCGCGGGCACTAGGAGTACCTACGGTCCAAATTTCAAGTCTCTGTTACGTAACTGCTTGTTTCTCAGTGGGCCGCGCCGGCTGGCTCATCGGATTCTCTGGGTGCAGTCCCATCCCTGGCCCGCAGTCCGCACAATCGATAACAACAAAGCTACACGTCTGTAGCAAAACAGACTCACACAACACTACTCAAAATGAACCACATAATCGATAACAAATATTCGGAACTGCTAACTCATGAACAAAATAAACAGCTGTAACAACTATGAAAATGTAAACAACAAAGGTGAGACACTCAATATACATTAACAAAAAACACTATTTATCCACCTTACTCTTCCAGATCGGGCCCCGGTTCCGGACCCAGCGTACCCGCCCTACCATGAGACGATCGCCTACACTCGTCTCCCTCATTTTGGCCACTAAATGGCCTATATTAGCCCGTGTCGGCCATCATGCCCACTCTCCCCAACAATATTACTTTAGCCGGACATGCTTTCTTTCAATATGTGCGTATAATTGGTTGCGTTTTCTTAAAATTTATAATAATTATAATCATCGCTTATGGCATTTATCTTGCAGCTATCTAGAATCTCATGCAAGTGGAGATTTCGTTAACTTCACAGGTGCGTATAATGGTTTGTGTAATCTTATAATTATTGGCATTAATATTTCTTTTATTTCTTTCTAATTTGCACGAGGATTCTATTCAGATAAATTAGTATTCATGCACGGAACATTTCTTCTCCGGGTGCGTATGATTGTTGCATATATTTATACTTATGGACAAGGTGTATTAATTCCTAAATTTTTATTTTTTTTTTTTTTAACAGCACTAAATGGAACAGGCGACGAAATACTACAAAGATATTGCTAGTCGCCTCAAAAGAAACACGCAAGGAGGCAATTTAGAGGCAATCGTTGCGCCGATTTAGGAACAATGGCCCACACAAATACTTAAAACTGGGTATGTCACGATAATCAGTCGTGCAACAGGTAGGTGATATAGATCTGTATTAAATCGCTTAATTCTACCTTACCCTACCTAAAGAGCTCTCTGGGGGTGGTAAGGGGCGATATAAATGGGTAAATTCCAATTAGGTAAGTATGTGAGCATAGTTCGCGCAAGTGTTAATTTTCAATTTTCGTATTTTACAGGCGCAGATGCATCACCTTTGGAGTTTCCCTCACCGTTCGCACTCTAAAGTGAAGCTCGGCGTAAGTGCCTATGTATGTATAGATGGAATTTATAAATGCAAAAAAAAACTAAATTTAACAACAAAAAAAAATCTGTTCCTTTTCAGGGAGTACGATTAGGAGTCTTCATCTGACTCCGCCAAGGGCTCGAACGAGGATGGGCAAAATGGAACGGACTCACTTGGGGGATGTGGGCGTGGTCTCGCCTGTGGCCGCTTCTTCGTTGTTGGAGCCCGGTCGTTGGTGGCTCGTCTCGTCGCCTTCAGGGTTGCGCCGACGCTTGCTGGCGGCGTCGCGGATATGGCTGGTGTGCGCCGCTGAGCCGAATCCTGGCTTTTGGTATGTTTCGTGGGCCTCTCTGGTGCGCGAGCTGGTCCCTTTGTTGCCGGAGCTGTTAATTTTTGTTTTATTTGGTTCGTCTCTCGTCGCACTTAAGTTTTAAGTCTCTTTTAATTTTTTTATATTTTGCAAAAAAAAAAACAATCCCAAAATTTTTATTTGTCTGTTAAGTTATTTTTGATAGTACGCGCCGGCTTAACTTGCCAGAAGGGAAAAAATTCGAATCTTTTGAGCAGATATGCAATATAAAAATTTTATGCTCACTTCGAGCTGGCACGCCCGCCGTTAACCGCTGATTAAATCGAACTCCCTCGTACATTTGGGCAGCAACACCATCGGTGCCGAATTTCGGCACACGCATACATTTGCGAGGCGGGCACCGTTGATGCCCATCAGCACAGCTGCATTTTTTTGGGTCAATGGCCCAAATGAAGGCCAAGGGCATACCAAGGGCATGCGATCCACTCTCCTCATAGTCTCTTTAAGAGCGAACCGGGCGGCCAATAGCAATCGTCGCTTTTGGCGCCGTGGATCGCATGTCTGGCGTTGCCACCCTTCAAAAATTTGGGCTCCACCGTGGGCCCAGCTTCACCCCGCATACTCTGACCATATGACAAAAAGATATCGGCGTGGCCGATAATATCGCACGCAACCAACTAAGTAACCCTCGGTGCTGCCGATAACGTCAAATGCAACATCACCACGCAGATTATTGTAACGACATGAAGGACCGTTACAAGGAATCTGCGTGCGCATTTCATGGATTGACCCAGCCGGCTAATAACGATGCCCAACGTAGGCCACACCCACGACCCTGATCTACACCCGTCCTTCGCATGGAACACTCCCAAGGGCTTCCCTTTTAATTTCGTTATCGTCCGCCTCCGGCGGAAAATCACCAGCTCTTTGGTCCTCCACCCGGAAGTTTCGGTTGTTGACGCTGCGCCCGTTCCTAACCTGAGGACTCCCGACAAACCTCGGTCTGGGGGGTGTATCCCTCTTCCTACGCACGCCTTGTCTATGTGGTTTCGGCGGTACCGACGGCGAATACGCTCCGCTCTGGAGCTCTTTGTCATATGGGAAGGCACCTGTTTCCGCGTCCGGCGCGATGTGTCTTGGTGTCACCGGCTCCGAATCTGGCTGTCTGGCGTGGGTATCCAACGGTCTGAGCACGTCGATGATGTCCTTCATCATCTCTAAAAAACCCGTTCGCAACTCATCTCGGATGGACTCGCTGATGCCAGATGGTAGAGCCTGCAGATAGGTCTGGTGAGCTTGTGCAATTGCCGCGATCACTGCGGAGCTGATCACGGAATCGATTGTTGGTTCTGGGAACTCTAGACTCCCTAGAGGTCCCTTCGCCGGGATATCTTTCTTCGGAACTCCCCGTTCCTCAGCCATAATTGACTCCTTACCGCAAGGCAATAACCTAACTTTTAATAGCACCAATACATATTGATCTTACCGACCCATACCACTATTTATAAATTAATGGATGATTGCACCAAATTCCCTAACGACGACAAATCTTGCTAATATTTACCTAAATTTATATAAATGGATACATAAATAAATAAATAACCACAATATTCTCTATCGCCGACAAAAATAAATCACTTTCACTAACAGATCTTACAAATAATAATAACTGAAGAATTAAATAAATATCGACAACGAAACCAACTCACAACAATAATATTCCATACTTTAATTAAGTTTCAAATAATTTGGGGGAGAGAAGACAAATCCTAACACAGGCTAAATAATCTACGCATAATCTGGACAGTGGACAACACTTAAGCATTCGTCAAATGCTCAGTTCGTCAGTTTGACTGACGAACGGCATTCAAGGAACGCTACCTTGAAGGCTATTTGGTTTCTGTCGCACTTCTGTGCACCCTTAGGGTATGCTGTGTGACAGGTGCGGCGCAGGATCGGCTCTATATCGTCCTGGGTCACCTGTCTCCGAAGCTCATTTGACTACGGCCAGCACACACCAAACGTTAACACAGAGTGGGACAAAACAAATAGAAAACATTAAACAAACTCTAGTCAGACCTACCCTAATATCACATTTTATCACAGGTTATTTTGTCATGGCGGCTACCACCAGGCTACGATGGACGGTCGCGAACGTTCGCCAACTAGCAAACGTGACTTACCGTCATCAACCGCGACAAGAAAACTCCCCATGTTAATGGACACCATGGCAAGATCCGTCTCCGTCGCTCTTCTGGCCATTCTTGGGATATGCTGTGTGACAGATGCGGCGCAGGCTCGATTCTATATCGTCCTGGGTCACCTGTCTCCGAAGCTCGTATAACTACGTCCAGCATACATCCAACATTGACACAAAATGAGACCAAAAACTACTAATTGAATAAATAACATCTGACTAAACTACCCTAATATCACATTTTTTTAATCATGAGATGCCTTTGTCGTTGCGGCTACCACCAGGCGAATGATGGACAGTCGCAAACGTTTCGCCAACATGCGAACGGCCATCAACCACTACAAGAAAAACCCCTCATGCTTATGGATGGATATTCAGATAACCTCTACTTCCGTCGTGCTTCTCGGATTCCACTACACGCTGCGCGATTATGAGCTACCTACTCGTGCCACATAAGACTTCAGCGGTGTGGGTCCTGAAGCCAAGGGAGTCCTTTTCTCTGTACCTTCCTTTATATCGTATTTATTTTTCTTTGATTACACACCGACTTCAAAGAAGCCGAGTGCTTCTTCAACTTGGGCGCCATATTGTTACGTAACTGCTTGTTTCTCAGTGGGCCGCGCCGGCTGGCTCATCGGATTCTCTGGGTGCAGTCCCATCCCTGGCCCGCAGTCCGCACAATCGATAACAACAAAGCTACACGTCTGTAGCAAAACAGACTCACACAACACTACTCAAAATGAACCACATAATCGATAACAAATATTCGGAACTGCTAACTCATGAACAAAATAAACAGCTGTAACAACTATGAAAATGTAAACAACAAAGGTGAGACACTCAATATACATTAACAAAAAACACTATTTATCCACCTTACTCTTCCAGATCGGGCCCCGGTTCCGGACCCAGCGTACCCGCCCTACCATGAGACGATCGCCTACACTCGTCTCCCTCATTTTGGCCACTAAATGGCCTATATTAGCCCGTGTCGGCCATCATGCCCACTCTCCCCAACAATATTACTTTAGCCGGACATGCTTTCTTTCAATATGTGCGTATAATTGGTTGCGTTTTCTTAAAATTTATAATAATTATAATCATCGCTTATGGCATTTATCTTGCAGCTATCTAGAATCTCATGCAAGTGGAGATTTCGTTAACTTCACAGGTGCGTATAATGGTTTGTGTAATCTTATAATTATTGGCATTAATATTTCTTTTATTTCTTTCTAATTTGCACGAGGATTCTATTCAGATAAATTAGTATTCATGCACGGAACATTTCTTCTCCGGGTGCGTATGATTGTTGCATATATTTATACTTATGGACAAGGTGTATTAATTCCTAAATTTTTTTTTTTTTTTAACAGCACTAAATGGAACAGGCGACGAAATACTACAAAGATATTGCTAGTCGCCGCAAAAGAAACACGCAAGGAGGCAATTTAGAGGCAATCGTTGCGCCGATTTAGGAACAATGGCCCACTCAAATACTTAAAACTGGGTATGTCACGATAATCAGTCGTGCAACAGGTAGGTGATATAGATCTGTATTAAATCGCTTAATTCTACCTTACCCTACCTAAAGAGCTCTCTGGGGGTGGTAAGGGGCGATATAAATGGGTAAATTCCAATTAGGTAAGTATGTGAGCATAGCATAGCATTTTCAATTTTCGTATTTTACAGGCGCAGATGCATCACCTTTGGAGTTTCCCTCACCGTTCGCACTCTAAAGTGAAGCTCGGCGTAAGTGCCTATGTATGTATAGATGGAATTTATAAATGCAAAAAAAAAACTAAATTTAACAACAAAAAAAAATCTGTTCCTTTTCAGGGAGTACGATTAGGAGTCTTCATCTGACTCCGCCAAGGGCTCGAACGAGGATGGGCAAAATGGAACGGACTCATTTGGGGGATGTGGGCGTGGTCTCGCCTGTGGCCGCTTCTTCGTTGTTGGAGCCCGGTCGTTGGTGGCTCGTCTCGTCGCCTTCAGGGTTGCGCCGACGCTTGCTGGCGGCGTCGCGGATATGGCTGGTGTGCGCCGCTGAGCCGAATCCTGGCTTTTGGTATGTTTCGTGGGCCTCTCTGGTGCGCGAGCTGGTCCCTTTGTTGCCGGAGCTGTTAATTTTTGTTTTATTTGGTTCGTCTCTCGTCGCACTTAAGTTTTAAGTCTCTTTTAATTTTTTTATATTTTGCAAAAAAAAAAACAATCCCAAAATTTTTATTTGTCTGTTAAGTTATTTTTGATAGTACGCGCCGGCTTAACTTGCCAGAAGGGAAAAAATTCGAATCTTTTGAGCAGATATGCAATATAAAAATTTTATGCTCACTTCGAGCTGGCACGCCCGCCGTTAACCGCTGATCAAATCGAACTCCCTCGTACATTTGGGCAGCAACACCATCGGTGCCGAATTTCGGCACACGCATACATTTGCGAGGCGGGCACCGTTGCTGCCCATCTGCACAGCTGCATTTTTTTGGGTCAATGGCCCAAATGAAGGCCAAGGGCATACCAAGGGCATGCGATCCACTCTCCTCATAGTCTCTTTAAGAGCGAACCGGGCGGCCAATAGCAATCGTCGCTTTTGGCGCCGTGGATCGCATGTCTGGCGTTGCCACCCTTCAAAAATTTGGGCTCCACCGTGGGCCCAGCTTCACCCCGCATACTCTGACCATATGACAAAAAGATATCGGCGTGGCCGATAATATCGCACGCAACCAACTAAGTAACCCTCGGTGCTGCCGATAACGTCAAATGCAACATCTCCTTGCTTTCATACATACGGATAGACGGACTGACAGACGGTCATGGCTGAATCGACTCGGCTATTGATGCTTAATAAGAATATTTATGCTTCATGGGATCGGAGATGCTTCCTTCTGCCTGTTACATATATTTGCACAAACACATTATACCCCTTTTACCTATTTTTAATGGGTCCATGGTATAAAAATGTATAAGTCAGACCACCAGCAATCTCTGCATCCTCTTTATAGGGCGGAAAATAAAGTTTTCACTTTATTTACGTTAAAGTTAATCAATTACATTTTAGAAGTGTAATTTACTCTATTATAAGAAAATTTCAAAAACCAAATACATATTACATCTAAGAAGCTGAATAAAAATAATAAAACATATGTAAAATATTTCGATTACTTATCTTTTTGAATGAAATTATATTGGACAATGGGAAATTTTCATGCAAACAAGCAAAGAGCTGTCTCAATATTGCCTAAAGCCACACTAAACATTTTGCGTTGCATTCAAATGTATGTTTCCTGTTATCCTTAACCATTTACAATAAATAAAAATACTTGTTAAGTGCCAATTTTTTAGAATGAGAGGGCAAATTTTAAGCAGATAGTACTTTGGACCAATAAATTTAATATTAAATTTTACATACCTGAGGGTTTCGTGAAAACTCCGCTGAGATTCATAGTTGCCAGACTCTGAAATTTAGAATCGTTTTCATCGCTTTTACAAGAAGTCGTCATATTTCCTTTGTGATATATTTCACCGTCGGCACAACACTTACGAAGACACGGTACCGAATCGCAAATTTGAAGTTGTTGACAAGTGCGAACTAAAAATTGCTCATTATTTTTGTAGTTTTGAGGGTTTATATTTTGAATTAACTCTTCAATAGCTTCAATGCAAAATTCGTTTCTTTTAAAAGATCTGCCATAGTCCTTAAGTAAAATTTGTTGTTTTTTTAAGTTTATTGTTTTCGCCCCTACCACATATTCAACTAAAACATTATTTTTGGGACATACGAATGAATTATCGACAAAAATCATTGGTTTGTCGAAAATGGAAGAGTATAAATTGAAGTCGGGTTCACGTAAATAGCATTTATTTAAGTCAGAGACATATGTGTAACCATGGGGACAGCATTTATTAACAAAACCAATACTTTGAAACTCATCATCAATACTGGATTTACATGTTACAACAATAAGGCTGCTGTTTATAATTAGAAGGCATGATTCCGGTGATACTTTGACTGATATTTCTGTAAACAGTGATATATTCAAAATGCTGGTATGCGCACATTGTAGTAACTTCATATGTCTGTTGAATTCTTTAACAATTTCCAAGCCATATCCTTGTGGACTTTCTGTTTTACCAAGCATGTCCATACTGGTAGCATTAACTTTTTCATTTAGACCATCCATGGCATGAATACATTTTAAATTAGTAGAGTTATTTGATCCTTGACTCTTGTATAATATTGATTGTGGTGTACAGCATATTTGTATTGAGTTGTTATTTGTTACTAAATAACTAAAAATTAAATACATAAAAACTAGCTTGACACACATCAGAAAAAATTACAATTTGTATTTTATAATCAAATATTACTTGGGCACAACTATGTATATGTCCATGCCTATGTATATGTAAATAAAAATGTATATATGTATGCTTGTAACTATAAGAAGATATCTTATCTCTGATTGACACCGCACAATTTGAAAAAAAAGATACGTTGCAGTAAATGACGCACTTGAGTCTTACTGAAAGCATGTGCTCCTAACGACTGAGAAAGTGGATATCAATATAAATAAATATCTTTACATACATACATACAGAAATTCACACATATGTATGTATGTATGTACATTGATTGTTTATTCTCATATTTATCTGTAAACATACTATAAATGTATACATACATACATATGTACATACATATATATGTATATACATAATTGTTTGCGTACGCACGTCTATATTCCTGAACTTATTCCCTCCCATATTTACTATGTATGTATGTGTTGTATATGCATATTGTATATTTCGGTACATACATACATACTAACAGACATAAGTACTCATATTCATCAATGCTATATACATACATATATGTATATATATTTATATATGTATGTATATATAGTACTACTACAATAAGTCAATATGTTTTCATATTGACGGGCAAACGAGGGCAGTTCAGGACGTACCACGTATTGACGCGCACCAATTTCGACAATTCTTCCACAATCAATAACACTTTTTCATTGTCTTTTTTTTCCTATCGAAATTTTCTTGAGTATATGTATGAGTGTTTGTGTGCTTGTGTGTATCCCAGTCAACCATATTTTCGTGCAAAACTGAATTTCATCTATTCTTACGCTCTTCCTTTCTAACCCTAAATGTTCCCGATAAGCCGAAGCATCAACGCATGAAATTTTACCTTTCCACTTTATTCGTTTAACCATTCAACAAGCACAGCCGCAAAACATCTCTATGAAGTATCTTGGCTCGCATCTCGAACGCGCGATTACATGGCACAATCATATAAAAGCAAAACGTCAGCAACTTAAGTTAAAGCAAGTAAGAGGATCTAGTCGGGTGCTCCCGACTAGGGAATAACCTGAACCCTTTTTTACCAACACTAAATGCAGCTCGCGCTACGCGCTCGTTTGCTTTAGCAGAAATTGACGACACTACTAGCCGCCGACTCTACTCAACAGCCAAACCAACAACTATTCGAAACTGAAACAAGTAAGATGTTCTAGTCGGGAGCTCCCGACTAGGGGATAGTCTGAACCCTCTTCTTCCAACACCAAATGCAGCTCACACTAGGCGCTCATTTGCTTTAGTAGTAATAAAGAAAAATTAAAATAAAAAAAAAATTGTTCCCTTGGCAGGGTTTGTACTCGCAACTAACCGCACCACTTGCCGCAGCCTCTACTCAAGAGCCACACAAAAATTGAGTTTTAATGAAAAAGAAAACAATTAAAATAGCAGCACAGAAAACAATACAATCGCAATTGTAAAGCTTTTGAAAGAATTCAAAGCAGACGCGCATGAATGTGTGTGTGTATATGCATACAGAAATTTTTGGAATTTGCGCTAGCTGCTGCTTACACGTGCGTGATTTTTAACCGATCTTAATGAAATTTTCGACAGTACATCTTATTGTAGAATAGAATGTAGAATATTTGTGTATTCTCAAAAAGTCAATTGTATATAAATTGTGGCTTAAATTGATGGGCAATACATGTTGTATAATTAACTTGATTTGTAGCTTTGTGGTGGTAGCGGGGAGGTGGCCTTAGGCATAAAATGAAAGATACTTGATATATATATACTATTCTAGAAGCCAAATTTCAAGTTTGGTGACTCTAGCTCATATTATTTGCCGAAATGGCTCAAAAAACAGGATTTCGATATTGATTTTAATCGATTACTTGGAAACGGGGCTAGATTTGGATTGTCGGAAACAAACTCGTAATGCGCAGGAGCTTGTAGGACCTACGTTCCAAATTTCAAGTCTTTAGCTCTTATAGGTTCTAGGATCCTTGCCTTCATACATACGGACGAACGGACGGACGGACAGACGGACCGACAGACGGACATGGCTAGATCGACTCGGCTATTGATGCTGATCAAGAATATATATACTTTATGAGGTCGGAGATGCTTCCTTCTGCCTGTTACATACATTTGCACAAAAGCATTATACCCGTTTTACCCATTTTCAATGGGTTCAGGGTATAAAAAAAAAACAAATTAAAATAGCAGCACATGCACGCAGCGCAGAAAACAGTACAATCACAATTGCAATGCTGTTGATAGAATTCAATAAAAACTTTTGTGTTTCTTAACCGATTGATTAAATTTTCAACAATAGATCTTAATGCACTATAGAGTATTTGTGTATAATTGCGGCTTGAATTGAAAATCGTTGCAATAAGACATCGGTCAGCAGAAAATAACCTTAGCGGCGTTAGATCATTAAATTTGCTAACCAAGTTGAAAATTTAATAATATTTTTCCGTGAAAAACCTCTTATATTAATATTGGCTTACATTGCGCGTCTTTATTGAATTCTATCAACAGCATGGCAATTGCGATTGTATTGTATTGTGTGCTGCTATTTTAATTCGATTTTTTCTCAATAAGACTCAATTATTGGTATGGCTGTTGAGTAGGTGGCAAGAAGTGTGGTTTATGCGTGCTCGAGTCCTCTTGAGGACTTTTTTTATACCCACCAACTTAAACTACAATTTTGAGGTACTTGTCTTTTTAAGAATATTCGAATATTCTATAGCACAATAAGTTCTACTGAAACACAAAGAAAACGAGTTTTGCTGTTGAGTAGAGTCGTTAACAAATAGTGTGGTCAGTCACGAGTTTGAACCTATCGAGGAAATAGTTTATTTTTAAATCGTCGTCCCCATACCCCCGATGTCCCGGCTCTCCCCATTTCGACCCACGCTTTAAGCCCGGACTCCAGGCTTTTCTGAGGAATCATCTACCCAAGCTAACTGGCAAAAGGCAGTGTTTAAATCCAAAAAGGGGTAGCAAAAAACGAGAAGGTTATGTTCTCTTGACTCTTGACCCGAATGAAGCCCAGCAAAAAAAGGAACCAAACGCGTTTCTCGGCTTTCTGAGACGCAGCACGCGCAAGGGCAGGCAGGCAACAAGCGCCAAAGCAGCAACCAGCAAACCACTCAGACGGCGCCTCAGAAGGAGCGTCCTTTCCTCAAAATGCCCAGAATAACTGTCCCGGTCATCGTCAGCTTCGCGACGTTTTGCAAGGAACTAGACAACAAGAGTACGCCGTACGCCTTCCAGCAGAAAAATTAGCATAAGGCAAATGGCATAGACGTAACCTACTCCAGGGATTGCCGCCCCCAAGCAGCGCCGGCTGCTCTCAGCTTCTCTACCTGTCAGGAATATTTTGGCAGCGTCCTGCGCGGTAATCAGCCCAGCGAGGACAAAGCTCGCGGCAATTCTAATCGATCTAATCCATTTGCTGAAAACAGTCCCAACTTAGCCGTTGAGTTGTAGCCACTGTTGGCCAGTTTATAATTACGAGTACAAAAAACCATAGTCAATAAAACGACCAAAGTTCTATACTAAGGAACTTTGGAACGCCAGCGGAGTTTTCTCGAAAATGAATGCAAATTCCGCCTTCATCGAGCGCCACAACATAGACGTGTTCCTTTACACGGTACTCTCAGAGCTACACTTTTTTTTAATGCCAGCCACCCACACAACAGATAACATACAGAAGCAGCAATCCTGATTAGCTGGACCTTGAGGCACCATCCACTGACGTCGTCCTGTCACTGCATGCCGCCATCATCCGGTGCGGATCTGGCAGAGGCGAGTTCAACCTCGTGTCAGTATACTGCTCACCAGCTTCTTCTCTGTTATCAAAATGGCCTAACTGGGCATATAGAGCTACTGCAACTCCAAGTGCGCTTGACTTCAGACAAGATCCGCTTAGGATAACAAGCTTGCTAGACCTGACTTCGGATGACCTCCTTAATGATCTAGTCGCCGCGCTCTAAGCTGGACGTCTATTGGACCTGCTTTACAGGCACATTAGAACTTAACGTGGCAATGAATACGGCAAGCGATCTGGAGAGCGAGCCTTGCGAACAAAATGCATCCGAGTAAACTGTAAATTAACAACTATCGCGTTACTAGTGTGAGCGAATGCTGAACGACTGAAATACTAGATCTGAGGATTCAAAACCGAATATTATTCATTATTAGCACGTATACTTTATTTGATTCAATTTTAAACTCTAAAATCTATACTAAAAGCTAAATTAACCCAAAGCTCTCAGACCATGGCAGCGTTAACGTCAGAATGCTAACGAGGCATCAGATTTCATCAATGTGGCCGTTGACCGGCAGCAATGCGAAGTCAACAAATATCAGTGGCCAATGCAGCTTCTTTGTAGTGACGGCATCCGGTCTCTCGGCGGGATCGGCAGATTTTGATTTATTGGTGGTAACTTCTCTTTTGGTTAAGCAAAGTCCGTTCTCGGCCTTCCGAATTCCTGCTTTCAGCTCCAATCTTTTAGTTACATCAGCCATTTATTTATCTATGTGCTGGGGGCTTGTCACAATCAGTTCGTAGAGAGGCGGCAAACTCAGTCGCTCCTGATTTTCGGTTACGTTGATCTGTGTCTAGGCCGATACCGCTAGTTTCATTCTCAGGACGCCGTAGTTGTTGGTGAACAAAGTTTCATTGTCGTCGAATGATACCAGAAATGTTCCAGACACTAATTGTGCGATGCCGTTGTTGTCGGTGATACTGACGTTTTCGTCATTGATGATGAAAACCCCCTCAACTCTGACCGTGACGGGGTCAAGTTAGCTGGTGTGAGTGCTGCAGTGAGCTACGGCTTCGGAAACCAGTTCCTGCGCACAGGCTCTGGTATTTCGCATCTTGCAGAAGGTAGCGCTTATTGCCGATTTGCATTCTTTGACCGCAGAGAAGTGGGCTCCACAGTCAGCAATAACTGGGCAACAGCAACAGTGTCGTCTTGTAGGTCAACAGAAACGCTTCTATGTTGAACACATCTTTCTATAAACTAAACGACAAGACAAAAATCAATCGAGAGGAAAAACAGTAAGAAAATGTTTTTAAATAGAAAATGTACAACGCCGGTGTTTTATTAAAATCAAAATTAAAACGCCGCGCAAAAAAATACTTCTGTTTCCTTCAAGAGG